TCACATGTTTTCAGTTCCCTAATAAGTAGTTCAATAAGATTGTCAGTTGTTCTGAGGTATAGGTGAAGCATGTCAATAATAACATGGCTTTTACGAATGAATGGAAATAGAGGTTCATGATTACAATTAAACTTTTTTCTTCTGGCAAACTGTTTAAATTTTTTTGTTGTCCTTGCTCTTAAATCTGGATCCAGAATTGACCAAGATTTTTTCATGTTGTACCTTTCATTCTTAGGGCATGTGCACCATATACATGCAAAATCAGCATTTGTACCAACTATACCACACACACATGCCAGGAATTTCCAGTCACCACCAAGAAAATATTCCAGTGGGTAGGTTGTGTCATCAACATTTATGCTTTCCATTCCTGGATTATATCTCTTAAGCTCTCTGCCAATGTTTTGTAGCTTTCTGTTGTCTTAATAATTGCCAAAAGGTAATTACCCTTCTCACTCATGGATTGATTCTGTTCATTAATAACTGTGTAAGTAATATTTACTATGTTTAATCTTTTTCCAACTTTAGTTCCATCTCCACTGATCTTGACCTTAGCTTTTTCTCCAGGAATTATCACACCAACCTCTTTTAGCCTCTTAATTTGTTCAGTAATACCGTTACGAAAACTCATTTGGATGCCATGTTGCTCTCCTGGTGTTAGTTTATGATTCCATGTTTCATTATCTTGCTCAGGCAGGGTGACTCTTTTGAATTCATGGATATTTCATGCCAAGCTTCGTTTGATGTATGAAACCTGTCCTTCAAGTAGAGCCAGGTATTCAGATTATCAATCTCCTCATCTAACATTTCCTCCTGATTTTCATTCACATCATCTTCATTAAATAAAAAACATTCAACTTCCCCAGTGCTTTCATTGTACAATTCAACCTTTGATGGTACAAATCCATAGAGCCCGAGAAATGACAGTCCTGTTTCACATTGTTCTTTCAATTGCTTTTGCACTCTTTTTTGGTGTTGTTTTGTGTAGTTGCTAAATTCTTTCTTTTTACCAGGACCCCTTGTTTTTTTGTTGGATGATAGTTTTGCAATTTTCTTCACAAGTTGCTTAAACTTGCCTTTGTATGCAATTCGGTTTTTACATCAGTTTTCTTTAATAATTCTAAATCCTCTTCAACTTTCGCTCTTTTTACACATTCAGCTTCCAGGGCACTTTCTAGCTTCCTTTTTCCATCACGTAGCTCTACATTTTCTTTCCGTATGTAACCCTCCAATATCAGTTTTATCGTAATGAATACTCACTTTATATGAAGAATTCTTCCATAAATTCAGCAGTTTAATAGACTGTCTGCCACCTGCTTTTTTCGCTCGTTTCATTGCAGAATTCAGTTTACTGATTTTAATTTTAAATACTTGAATAATATGGTTGTTGAGTTTCCATATATACCTGATTTAATGAGGATTTCAGTGACAACCATGGTCAACCAAGAGATATAATCTTGACCATCTAGTTGTTCCAGCTCAGTTGACAATGAGTAAATCAAATAGCTATACGAACGAATCGATGAAGCAATATTTAAAATAACAAAAATTACCTACTATAAAGCTGATCTGCCTGATCATTGCTGCGGAGCGAGCGAGCCTGAAGCGAGCGAGCGTAGCAGCAGTCTAATTTGTGCAGAGAGGGGGTTCTGAACTAAATTTTATTTAGCGCAAGGAATTGTGGTCGTGCGCGTTTTCTATGCGTAGAACACAAATTTTAAACTCGCTCATATCCATGTGCTTTTTTATTTCGATGGACAGGATCAGCTTCTGTTCTATTTTGACTATTCAAGATAAGATATTTTTATCTTTCGTTCATATGTTACGTTTACAGTTGTTACAATTTTAACTTGTATATTTATGAAACGCTAAAAGTATACAATCGATCACAGCTAGATTCATGCTGTATATATAAGAACTATATAAATTCTTCTAGAATATTAAGATGTACTATCCAATTTGCTAATTCGCTTTCCTTAGCAGTTGAGCTGTCAGTGCTGTGAAGCAAATCAAGTCTTACATACAGATGCCTTAAAGTCTTTTTTATCCATTGACATTTGTATTCTTTTGCTGATTTCCATATTTTGCATCAAATGATGTTTCAAGTATGCGGCTTGACGCTTGCAAGTCGTGTTTAATAACATGACACAGTCGCAGATAAAATATGCAATTGAATTGATTGTCTAAATTGCCTGACTGAATCACTCAGATTCGTGCAATGTTTGACTTATTTTATATTAGGTTACTGTAAGCATAGGCATATGTTTTTATTCCTATTTTACAATGAGCTGAATGTTTTTGTTATTTAGTGCTTTTACCGGATCTTCACCTGGTTTCTGATTACACGTCTTCTCGAGCGGGTTCAAAGTTCAAAGTATTACGTGATGTTTTATCACTCTTCACATGAAGCCAAACATTTACATGGACTCTTACGACAAAGACAAATAGCATATTTTAAAAACAAATATCCATGTTACCAAAGAATGTTCTATTTTGTTAAACATGTGCTACTGCAGGGCCTGTATTTTCGCTAGGTGGAATTTTGCGCGCCCAAACAATATTTTCCGCGCGGAAACTGAAAAGTACAATACTATGTCGCTACGCGTGCTAAATTCTAGCCAATATTACTATTATTGTTAATACTCCTGTTGTGATTCGTATGTTAAAATATTTTTAAAACTAGCTGCTTCTAAAGATTTTGACTTCAACGAGCTGTAACTCGCAAGACAGCGTTCTCGCCTTTACCCTTCCACAGCGGGAAAAACACTCCCGGGTCTATCCAACATCGGGGAAATTGGTATTCATGACACTGTAAAATGACTATTTTCAGACGATTTGTTTTTGCCGAGTGCAATCTACAAATCCTTTGGGCAATTGAACATTTATGAATCTTTTCTTTATAGCAAATTTACTCGCGAAATCATAAGTATAAACAAGCCTATTTCAAAACAATTTCGAGATAAAAGTTAGAACTTGATATAGCATATATTGACCTACATATTGACGTCATTGACAGTGTTCTCGCAAACAGGTATTAATTCATGTACAGCCCCAGCGAGTTAACGCTCAATAGAGGTTCGCTTTACGTGTTTTAAACCTGCCATTGCTATTAGTTGAAACGGATTTAGTTTACTAACATTTCATATAACAATTCACTTTGACCCTAAAATGCTCGCAGCAATCCCTACCTTGCAGGTAACCTAGTATATTTTATATACCATCAACTCAGTAACGGAAAATATTGGAATATATGAATAAATAATGTTGTGTTGACTTACTTGCTTATGCAATACACAAACTGCGACGATGTGTCCGTCGAAATTTCTGCCCCGTTTTTGTTTATAGCCGTCGCTATCTGCACAGCGACAGCGAGAATAAGGACAAAATACACCCAGAACTTCCAGGCCATTTTGACGAGCCTAAACTCAATATTTTTTTAAACAATTTACTACCAAAATGTTGCAAATTTTGCGCTCTATTCAAATTTGGCGGAAACTATAGTCATAGACCTGCGCAGTTCGTGCTCACATTCAATCCCCGAGTCTACGCAGCGCGCATAATAGTAAACATTAGTAAAATATTGCGCAATTGATCCAAAACAACTAAAAAATGACGAGCTTTAATTAACTCCAATTGCCGTAAAAATATATTCAAAACACGACCCATAACCTATATTTTAATATTCCAATGGCAACTCATGAATAGCTGGCATGCAGAAACGGCAAGAAGCAAAAAACTACAAAATGTCCTCTTATATTGCGGCAAATCTAGAGAAATATGACCCCGCGTAATACAAGTAGACTTTTTGTTCAGCAAAAGTTTGATATGAAACTGGCGTTTAAAAAAGATTCTGGAGAATCAACTGCCGGTACTTTGCTTGCAAGATTATTGCCAATAATGGTAAAATAACTGCAAAAATTATTCAAAATAGTATCTGAATTTGTCACAACATTACCATTAATTCTAAAACTTGTAGGAAATTTTGAATTTGAACTTTTCCACCAAATAATTTGATTAGGCATTTTCCATGTATCTCTTAAATTAAATTTAGTTTTTTCCAATTTCTTTTCAAAATATAAATGCTTAACAACTTGCACACAATGATTCAGCTGATTCTTATAAGAAGTTGCAGTGTCTAACACTCCCATCTGCAACTTGTCTTGCAATACTTAGGTAATTAGCCAATCTGGAAGCCAATTTAAAATTCTCACAATAACTCATATTACGATTAATGGAATTTTTTTGTGATCTGCTTTGTTTTTTTTTGAATTTTTAGTTGTTAGTTATATTTATGTAAAAAGTCATTGTAATTTTGTTACGCATTATTTTTTTTTATTAATGGGGATAGACATCAAAAACGGTAAACAATTATTCAAAAGTGTATGCCTAAGTATCAATTTTGAATAATTAGCAGGAGACAATGACTATGGAATTATGAATAAGAGTATCGGAAGCTGCACTGTGAGAGAGAAATTCCGGCATGATAACAGGGTGTCAATCTTTAGTCTTAAGTGTGATGTTGGGATTTTGTTGAAGGTGAGACTGTAAGCATCTGTAGAAATAAATGGATAAGGCAGTTCAGGTTTGTGTGAAGTTTAAAAAAAGTTTAAAGAAAAGTAGCGTTGCACAGACTGAGATTTCTTTAATAATTTTCTTGTATGATTGCATGGCGACTTTAGTAATTATAATAACTTGTAGGTACACCACGTAAGTATTAAATACTGCAAAGCTTTCGGTCCGTTAACCCGGACCTTCCAATATTGCACTGATGAAGGTCCGGGTTAACGGACCGAAAGCTTTGCAGTATTTAATACTTACGTGGTGTACCTACAAGTTATTATAATTATTGAGATTTCTTTGTTTGACGTAAAGAGCACTGCCACACAATGTGGACAAGAACAGGAAGGAAGCTACAGTCGAAGTGAAAGGGTTAGGAATTGGACACACGATCGCTTAAAAGCGAAGTACTTGGCAGTAAAGATGAAATTTTACAATGGTGTATGAAAGAGGATCTTATCGCGCGAGAAAGATTATGCGGTCATTGCAAAAAACCAATGAAGCTGATAGAGTGTGATGATCGGTCAGATGGGTACAAATGGGAATGTCGCAGACAAGAAAATGGTAAACGGCACAAGACAGAAATGTCTATTCGTCATGGAAGCTGGTTCGACAATAGCAACATGATGCTTGTAGAAATATTAAAATTTACGTATTGGTGGTGCCGCAAAGTTAAACAAGAGAATATTTGTCACGAGATGAGTATTGCTTCAAATACTGCAGTTGATTGGGACAGCTTCTGTTGTGAAACATGCGAAGTGACACTGCTTGAACGAAAACAGCAAATTGGTGGGCCAGGCAAGGTTGTGCAGATTGATGAAAGCAAATTCGGAAAGAGGAAATACCAGCGCGGCCATCGTGTGGAAGGACAGTGGGTGTTTGGAGGAATTGAAAAAGGTTTTATGGCAGCGGTAGACAAACAAGATGAGGCAACCCTTCTACCAATAATTTTCCAAAACATTGCGAAGGGAACAACCATAGTTTCAGATTGTTGGAAAGCTTATATTAATTTGGAAAAATATGGCTACGAACATCGGTTGGTTAATCATTCTAAAGAATTTGTGAACACTGAAGGATTTCATACTAATAAAATAGAAGGACACTGGAGGCAAGCAAAATATCAATTGCCATCCTTTGGGGTGAAAAAGATTGCCTTTTCATCTCACCTAGCAGAATTTCTTTGGCGATATGAAAATAAGGGTCAGGACTTATTTTCTGTTTTTCTACAAGATGTGAGAAAAATCTACGGAGAATTTAAATAAAGTATAGTAAAAGAAATTTGTAGTTGAATGAATCTGTAAACATTTAAACTTGAATAAAATTTTCATGCATAAATTTTTAAGAAATAAAATATTTCAGATGTATATTGTTTTTGTTTTGACTGCGTAGCCACTAAATGACAAGTATTGTGAATGAAAAATATTAGCATTTCTATAATGACGTATTTAAAGGTTAGTTTCATTTTTTAGAGCCTATGTAACTAGAACCACGATGAAACAAGTAATAAATTACTAGTGGACAGGTATTCTGCAGTCTAGCCGATTCATCTCTTGTGAATCGGCTCTTTCTTTCAACAATATCCTTTGTTGCAGAAGGAGGGACATGGGCTATGGTTGAGGAGATAAGAACAGGGTTACTATCATTCAAAGAAATTTGCCTTGCCACACCATCTGCATCATTAACTCTTCTGTGAAATATTCTGGATATGAGTTGTGGGACATATTCATAACCCTTTTCAACTTTCACAATTTTAATATCTCATTGCCTCGTTCTTGGGTTATACTTTTTTGTCCTGACATCTTGTCCAGATTTAGTCTTTGTTTGGGGAAGATTAATGTGGTAATTCCAGTCAATTGCTGCCAACTGGATTCAAGCAAGACAAATGGATTCAACAAGTAATGTAGCAGAAACAAAATGGTAACTGACTTTTGGTGCATTCACACAACCAGGTGATTGACAGCGAGCTTGAAATATCTCCAATAACAGTGGAAGAGAGCACACAAATTTGCTTTCCTTAACCATCTCAAATTCATATGGAAACTTGTTGATCTCCTCACCCCTACTCAGTTTACGATGAGGTCCAAATGTTATGTGGCTGGTACTGGCAACCTCTGGGATTTGTGGTGAGTCAGGTGTTTTGGGGGATCTTTCTGTTCATCATTAGCATCGTAATCAATGAAACTGTTTGAAAAATATATAAGATATATATATATATATATATATATATATATATATATATATATATATATATATATATATATATATATAAGGAAAATATTATAAGGAAAATATTAAGCAATATATTTGGATAATCAAAATACTGAATAAACAAGAAAAAAAACTCACTACATTTCATCTCCAGATAATATATCATCTGACTCATCATCCACATCTATTTTTGGTTCAGTTGCACTATATAGTTATATGACACATAAAATTGATGTTACAATAAAATGGCAATAAAGACATTTTGTAATGCATTTATCTTACCCACTATCTTCTGAATCAGATTCTCCAAGAACTCTATCAGCATTCAGTTCTGCAATGGCTGGGTGTGAAAGGTTGTGTTGGTGGCTACAAATTAAAAAAAGAAATAAACATTAACCCATTAGTTCCAGAACTGTATTTTATTTACCCCATGCATAATTGCTTTGAACTTTCATATAATAATCTTAAACTATACCAATAGTCTTGTTCAGAGCTGTCTGCAGTATCAGTACTTTCACCCTCATCATCAGTGAATAATGATATGTTCATTTTCGAAGTACTAGTTTCACCCATTAGACTATGAAATTCGATCATGAATAGAAACTAATTTTTTAATATTATTTAGTTATCACCAACATACTCTCAATAATTGCATATTGATAAGGAACAATATAATATTACATAATATAATTTATAAACCTTTTGTGTGGTGACATATGTTCCAAATTGCCTACTTCCATATTTTCTCCTCTATCAAAAATTGGTGATATCGAGGGCAAAATTGGAGGAACATTTACTCGATTATCTTGTCTAGATGGGGTAGATGTTTTAATGACGCCTAAAAAAATTAATCGCATTTTATTCATTATTTTACAAGAGGCGGCATTGACCATAGCATAAAGATAATTATGTAAATTTTGAGCCAGTTTACTTTGTATATTTGACACTATGTTTGCGCTCTCGCTCTCGGCCTGCATTTTCAATGTCTGATCTAAAGGAATAAACTGTATTATTAAAAATATACATATCTGCTGAGAAGCAACAGAAAAATAAAATATATGCACCCTTCTGCGGTATTCTAATGACAACAAATATGCGGCAAATTCACTGTCGGTACTTGAACCGTATCCAGCCTCATCTTTCGTGTCTTTCCACGATTTAAAAATCGTCAATGAAAAATAAACTTGTTTATGTTTACGATTCCAAACAGTTTGCGCGCTGTTAGAACGTTCGTATTTTCTCTTACGCCCTGCATTTATTCGCTTTCCACCGTGCGACGTGCCAAGTGCGGCCACCATCTTTGATTTACAAACTTGAAAAAATACAAGTGTAGAATTTCAAGTTTGTGATGCGCAGCAGGGATGCGCACAATGTGACACTGCTCCTTTAAAAGCTTCATCATTTGGAAACATATGCTTCTTTATAACCGCTCTTGAAAGCTGTAGAAAATCACCAGAGATATCGCTGGCAAGGGAACGATTTCCAGCATTTTTAATATAGGTATTTGTTACTTAGTGCACTTTTACCAAGAGTTCCGCCACCATCTTGAAAACTTATTACTGCTTTTGCAAGATTCCGCTGAATAAAACGCAGGTGCAATGAATTCGAAGGTGCAATATTTTGTGTCATTCTATAGGTGTGCCCTAGGAATTTAGCAGACTAGCTTGGCATTAAGCTTGGGAAACCTAATAGATTTAATAAATCTGGTGGGGGGGGGGGGACGATTGGTAATGAAAATTGACCTATGAAAATTTGACTAACTGTGAAGAATAGTTGTATTATAATTACATGATAATTGAGTTGTAAATATGGTAATTAATTAGGGGGATATAAAAACTGTGGAGAGAGTTTAAATCTGGGTCAGAGAGTTGAGACAGGACAAGTCAGCAAAGCGGTCCTAAGAGTTATAAAGAACATTTTGAGTGGAATAAGCAGAGTATTGGGGTGAACCCGTCTAGAAATTACTACGCTATATATATATTTGATAAAGTTGAAGTAAAGCCTTGAGAAGATATATTTGATAAAGTTGAAGTAAAGCCTTGAAAGTCAAGTATATTGAAGCGACAGGATTACTGAAGCAAAACCCAGAAGTGTGGTGAAGCTGAACAAGTCAGTGATGCAATAACCAAAACCGATAAAAAAAAACGTAAGAGACGAGGGTTTCCCTGGGAATCGCTTGGTGATACATTGTAACCAAAGTGTTGGGGCTAGACGAAGAAACAAGACGGACACTCTCTGGAATTAGGGTTTGTTTGAAAATACTGTAGAAAAATAATAGTTAGGGGTAGTTAATTAGAATAAAGGATTTTATTAATTATTAGAATACTTTTGTTGTTTTGGATCAGCGTTTGCAGCGCCCAAATCCACAATAGAAATCGTCACAATTGGTGGCAGCGGTGGGAAAATCAAAGCTGCAAAGGGTTGTTTTTATATTGTACCTTAAAATGACTTACTATAACAACCGGCAAATAGACTCGTTAAGGGATGAGTGTAATAAAAGACACATAGTTATAAACTCTAAGGACGGAGTTAAGACCTTGGCTGCCAGATTGCATACAAACGATATAAATAAGGTGGTTGACATGACGGACGAGGCACAGGCATCAAATATACATGATACCCAACCTGGAGAGTTTGAGAATGACAAAAATATACAAAATCTTTCAGATAGCCTGGGTAAATTGCATTGTGCCGGTGATTTTAAAACGAAAAATGAGGGTGAAATTCCCGGGGACAATGAGAAAATTAATTCCTTAGAACATGAGAGGGAAGAGAGAGAAATCAGGAGGGAAGAGAAAGAAATCAGGAGAGAAGAGCGTAGACAGCAAGCAAGATTTGAAGAGAGAGCTTGGGAAGTAGAATTACAGAGGGAAAGAGTTAAGACTCCATTGTTTTCCGAACACTCGGGAAAATTTGTGAAAGTGCAAGAAATGTGCGAGAAATGCGCAAGACCGAAGATATTGAAACTAAATTGCTGGTCAACTAAATTGCTGGTCAACATTGTCAGATGTCTCCATCATCTTTCTCTTCAGTGCTAGATCCTCCCTAGCAAGATAAAGGTGTTGTTTGTTAACAGAGATCTTTGTATTCATCTTTTTCTCTTTTTCATTATTGAGATATGTAGCAATCTTTTCTCTTTTGTCAATTGGATTTTGTGCTTTGGGTGTTCCTTGTGTGCCCTCTTCTTCCCCGGATATGCCAAACAGTGATTCCATTTCATCATCGCTGTTGACAACAACAGCATCTTTGCACAAACAAAGATGACTGTGACTTGTCTTTTTCACTGGATTTGTTGTTCTTTTCATGGGCTGAACTTGAATCAATTCCACCTGAATTAACATAAATGTTTACCCCATTTACTAGCAGTATTCTACCACTGATGAGTATATAGTCATCTGTTGTTTAATAGCAGAGTAAATACTGATATAGGACATATTTGAGTGCATTGCCAGCTAAAATCAACTAAACTAATGCAATAATTAATAATACAAATATTCTCAATAGCAGTGACTGAATGACTGTTTGTTCAGAGTACTATTTTATACTAGGAAATAAATCATAGTATGCGATAGAAGCGATGAATAAAAAGTATCATTCAATACTCGGCGATAAAAAGCAAAAAAATTGTAGTAAATAATACTGAATGTACCTTCGATACTTTTTGTCGAAGGGGCCTCTACCCATATGTCGTGGCATAAATCATAATATGTCATCATGATTCTACCTCCCCCGCTTCTTTTCCCGCTGTCGACTGCCTTCTTAAAATTACCCCAAATTGTTTTCAACTTTGCTGCAATTCGTTCTTTCGTAATTTGCTCCAGGGACTTTGACTTGGGATAGTCTGAATTTGGTTCTTCGATTTCGCCATCTTCATCAATTTTTGCATAGTGTTCAACAAAAATTTCTCTAATTTTTTCGTATTTTGACTTAACGCTTTCCCAATCTGTGCCTTTGAAAAGACAGTTGGAAGTAAATATTTTAACTGACTCAATCAACAGTTCGAGTTCGGAGTCAGTCCATGTGAAGAGTTTTTCTTTGACACGGCAGACATTTT